GGAGGGATGTGGGGACCAGGAGCAGGAGATATCCCCAGACACGGCAGCTAACCCATCAGCATTGCGGGGAGAGAGGTCTTACCATGGAGGAATGTCACACCTGCCAGGACCACCTGTGCTGCCGAGTCCCCATGCCACATCCAAGCAGACCCCAGGGAGGTGAGAGCAGAGCGTGCCAGGAGCCAGAGTAGCTGAGGGGGTGTGAGAAAGCCCTGGATCCTCCCTGAGCTTCCTGGCCCCTCCCTGCCCGTCAGAGTGCTGAGCTTTCCTGCTGCCTGGCAAAGCCCCGGGGCTGGCATGGCTGAGTCAGGTCTCCTGCACCCTCATCATCCTCCCGAGGTGTCAGGGGAAGCTGAGGCACAGGAATGTCCGGTCTGCATTCACGTGGCCAGGCAGGAGGCAGTGCCAGGGACCCAGGGCACCGCAGGGCTGCTCGGGGTGCTGGGGAGTGCTGCCTGTGTCAGGAGCCTCCAGCTCTGGCAGCTTTCCTCAGCCCAAAGTGGGGAGCAAACTCTGGGAGCAGAGGAGCAAAGTCCCTGCTCCATCCCCAGTCACTGTCCTGCCCGTGCCTGGTGGCAGCTGTTCCCTTCTGTCCTTCTGCCCGTGCCCGTGGCATTTGTCCCCTTCTTTCCTCCTGCCCGAGGTCCCCCCTGTCCTCCTGCCCGTGCCTGGTGGCAGCTGTCCCCCTCAGCACAGGAGCCTCAGAGCAGGCTCAGCTCAGTTTACACAGCGCTGGCTCCATCCAAGGTGTTACAGCACTGCTGCTTCTCGCTTACGCAGGCTTGGAGCTGTGTCCCCTGTCCCCTGAGACACAATGTCCCAGCCTGGAGGTTACATGGGAGCTCCCAGAGCTCTGCAGTGGTGTAGACAGAGGGGGGACACTGTGTGAGGCACCTTGCATACTCCAGAGTACAAGTGGTTTGGGGTGGAGGGGCTCCGTGTCCAGCTGACAGGGGTGCCCTTGCATACTCCAGAGTACAAGTGGTTCGGGGTGGAGGGGCTCCATGTCCAGCTGACAGGGGTGGGACAGCCTCCTGCCCATTCTCCAAGGCAAGGGATGCCTCTGGGTATCCATTTCCCTCTAGGAAGTGTGGCCCCAGGCAGCTCTGAGAGGAATACACTGCAGTGTTTGGTCCCTGCAAGGGGCTGAGGTCACCAAAGGGTGCCCTGGTCAGCAGATGGAGACCCCAGTGCCCTTCTCACACCCTGCTCTGGCACCTGGGGAGAAGCCACCCCAGCTCCAGCAGTGCCCACCACCACTCACCCCCCCTAGAGTGACAAGACCTGCCCAAGGTGACTCATGCAGCCCAGTCAGGGCCCTTCCCCTACCAGCTCTGAGCCTGAAAACCCTCCAAACTCATGCCACATGTGCTGGCCAGGAGTCATCACCCTGGACTCACTCCGTAACTGCTGACACATCCCCATCTGGCTACAAAACCTGCTGCTCACCACTCCTGGGCCACCCCCCAAGGCAGCAAAACCCCAAACCCACAGGGAACCTTGACGTAAGAGCCAAGGCATGTGTTATTGTTTTGAGGTCTGTGGGTGGAAAGGAAAGAAGGGACCCCCAGGCACAGGGCTCTGCTGGGTGCTGGGGAGAGCAGCTCACTGCCAGGCAGCTGCCAAGTTTCTTTGTGTGAACTCTGAACCTGCTGTCTGCAAAGAAACCTCTCCCCCGTGGTTTTATGCAGAGAGGAGCAGTTTTTTCAGTGTCTCCGAGTCCCTCTCCCCAGGACAGAGTCCCCACTCACCTGCGCGGGTGGCAGGGGATGATGCCGACAAGGCGAGGGATGAACCCCCGCGAT